AGTGAAGTCAAGGGTTGAGAGGGAGAGAAGGAGATGGTGGACTGAGAAGAAGAGGAAGAAGGACTCTCTCTCTCTCACTGTTACGAACCAGGTACTAACCTGTGRTGTGGCGCTGTGCTGCAGGTACCTTRAAGACGAAGCTGGAKCAACGGCGCTGCAGGTAGGTACCCCTGGCCTCCGCCYAAGCTCTCTCTCTCTCTCTCTCTACCACTATCCTAGCTATGGCGCCCAGCGCCGAAGGCTACTAGCTAACACTACCACTACTATAACGCAGCGCTCCCTCCAGAGGGCTGCTCCCGAATCCTGAAGACTACAACTGCCGACTGCCTTCCCTCCTGTAGGGCGGGCCAGTCCTTTATAGTGCTGGCCCGTGCAGGAGGCTGGTCGTGCCAATGCCCTATGCGCAGGAGGCCGCTCTTGCCAATGCCTCCCTGGCCTAGACCCTGCGGCCTGTAGGCCCTGTCAGAAGGAAGCTTCCAGGCAAGAGCCTGGAAGTTTCCCTGTAGGGAAACAGGCTGGGGCCTGTAGGCCCTGTCAGAAGGAAGCTTCCAGGCAAGAGCCTGGAAGTTTCCCTGTAGGGAAATAGGTTGGGGCCTATACAGCATGTAACAAATATGAGTGTGAGCGATATACATAAAACCAAGTTGCGAAATAACACAGCTCAGCAAGTAGTAGTATCCCAAGTATTTACAAATGCACCGAGAAAACCATCCATAAAGAGCAATACAATGAAGTATTGAGCCAATGTCCAAGCTTGTAGGCCACACTAACACAGTATCCAGAGTCGCTCTCTCTGTCTGGCGCACAGCGCCCAGCCTACTCTACCATACTATCCTACGCTACAGCTGGTTCACACAACAGGATCACTTCAGCTCACGAAGACCAATGTACATGACTGTCCACACCATCGGCGACCTCTCTTCATGTACCAGGTACGTATCTTGTCACCCTCAATCAGACCTTGATTACCCCACACAGCGCCTCACTCCCTGAAGACCACCCGATCATCCGCTCTACCCCCTGGCGCCAAGCACCCCGGCTATGGCCGCCTGCGCCCCGATGCCCTGCAGCGCCCCACCTCACCTCTCGCTCCCCATCAGTGCCCTTGGCAGCAGCGCAGCATCAAGCGAGAGTGCAGCAGCACTTCCGCATTGCCAGCGCTGGCCAGAATGCCTGGCCTGGGCTGCCTCACTTCCTTTATGGAAGTGGCAGCCTGCTGCATGCTGAGTGTGGCCTGGCTGGAAGCTTCCAATAGCTTCCGGTTGGGCCTCAGACCCTGTGCCCAGGCCAAGACTTACAGTTGAGGGCCTGGGCCCTTTATAGTTGGGCGCGGCCTGGGTCTCCGGACTTGGGCTGTTAGCTGCATCTGCGCAGGGCCCCCAGGTAGGTGCGTCGGCTGTATTGCTTTTCCAGAGGCCGACGGCCTGCTTCTCAATGTATTGGCCCTGCTTTGTGTGTAGGTGCCCAGGCACAACTTTCGTGGCCTGGGCCAACTATACGGCGCAGCTTAGTGAGGCTTGCGCGTTCGCTCAACCAACTGACGCGCTGCAAGAGCCTGAACACCCACATATGGAAATGTCGAATTTGGCCTGTGACGAATATTCAGGCCCGCCTTCACTTAGGGCGGGCACTTGGCTTGCTGGGGTCTTGGCCCAGWACAATGTGATGTCTGATAGGGCCACTTGAGGGCTTGTTCCTCACACACATATTTTGCCCAGCCCCCTGACTTCGTTGCATAAGGGTGCATGAGCCTGAGAAACTCCATGGGCTATTGCTTTTCTTGATTAGGCAGGGTGTATCAGGTCTGGTGGTTGAGGGATCCTTCTTTCTGGCAGTCCTGGGGCGAAGCCCTGGAAAGTGTAAGTCATCCCAATCCTTGTGGAAGCAATCATTGGTTCTCGAGTATCTTGGCTACTGCTCTGCTTTCTTTTCTGTATGGCCAGCCCTTCACAGATTCTTGTGTGCATGGGAGACAGGTCTATCGTGAATGTCTAGCTTGATGTCGGAATATTGTCAGTTCTGCTTTGGTGTAGTGCTTGTGTTAGATGCATTTCTTTTCCGTTTTGATTGTATGAACGAGAAAGAAACTGGAGCATCTTGCTACTAAGTTCTTGAAAAATAGAAACAGAAATATGATTGAAGTTCATTCTGTTTTTCTGAGTAAGATTCTTTGTTATTGCGGTGAGTTGCATTGCTTGGGCTTTTTCTCTTCCCATCTTCCCAACTCTGTGTGTCAGTTGCATGTGGTCTTCCTTGAATATGCATGAGGTTAAGATTGGGTTTCCACTGTGTCTCAAAGCTGTCGACTGTTGTCTGACGATTTGTCAGGATTAACTCATGAGTGACCGTCTTTCCTTTGTGCAGAACGTGGTTTTCGGACACTCACATCAGTCACGGGTTGCCCACGGGTTGTACGGCCACTTGCAGACCAGATCGATAGGATGAGGTCAGTTCTTTTTTTTTTTTTTTTTTTTGTGTGTGTGTGTGTNTAGCTTCGAAAGTCCGCTGAGATGCTTCATGCTGGTGCCTTCCCCTTCAGTCTTTTCTCATAATCGGCCACGATCTGAGGAGCTGTCTTGACAAGTTCCTCCCTTGAAATCCATCGATCTTCCTTCGGATCTGTATGATGCCTGAAATGTACTCTGTATTCCCTCGCAGGTTTGGGAGGTCTTCCCCTGCCAGGTGGCTTAGGAACAGGCGTATCTCTGTGATCCAGGATGTCGTTGACATCCACGTGGCCATCCATGGTTGGGGGCAGCATAGATCTCCGTGATGGGAACGGTGCTGTCTCAGTGAAAGGTGCAAGCTTGGAGGCGTGGAAAACAGGGTAAGTGCGTAAGTGACCAGGGATACGAACGACGTACGAGGGACTATCCAAATCATTCCCCACAATGTCTAAGACTTCCCAGGGACCAAAATACCGAGGCATTAGTTTCCTAGAGATGCCAAACTCCTGTCCCAACTCACTAGCTTGACCTTGACACGTTCCCCTACCTGAAATGTGGACTATCGACGATGCTTGTTCTCAGTTGCAATCATGGCTTCTTGAGATTTCTTGATATGCTCGACAGTCTGCTGCAACAGTTTCTCATACTGGACACCAAATTCAATGGTTCCAGGAGTTGCAGCAGTTCGGTTTTCAGGCACGAGGAAGTCTAGAGCGGATCTAGGCTTCCATCCGAGATGTAGCTGATTAGGACTGACACCGATGGTGTTGTGTACAGCATTGTTGTACAGACTGGCGATGAGAGGCAACGTCTCATCCCAGTCATCTTGGCTGGGCTTGATTTAATGCCTCAGCAGATGCTGCACCACTCGGTTCATTTGTTCAGCCTGCCCATTTTCTTCGGGATGATTCCCAGAAGTCATCTGAAGCTGGCTGCCCATCTGTTCAGCGGCCTGTTTCCACATCTCACTAGTGAAACGGACATCTCTATCACTAACGATAGTCTTAGGCAATCCAAAATCACGCACCCAGTTGTCCATGAACAACTTGATGACGTGCCGAGTCCTGGCAGTCACTGGCATGGCGATTAGTCTAGCGTACTTAGTGAACCTATCCACTATGACGAAGATGTGCCTCTTGCCATTTTTGCTGGTCACAAGAGTATCTATTAAGTCCATGGAGATGCTCAGCCCTGTGCCAGCAGGAATGGGTAAAGGCTTGAGTAACCCGATTGGAGCTCGAGTCCATGGCTTGTCCCGCTGATAGACCTAACAGGTCTCTACGTACTTCTTCACACCGTCAAGCATGTTAGGCCACCAGAATCGCTGTACTAAATTAGCCCTAGTCATGTTAGGCCACCAGAATCGCTGTACTAAATTAGCACTAGTCTTCTTATAGCCGAAGTGTCCCATTGCATCGTGGCACTCGCCTAAAAACAAACTACACAAAGTTTCTCTAGATGAAACAACTAACCTCTTGAACCCTGCCTTCTCAAGAAAGAGCAACCCGTCCACCATCACAAACTCATCAGTGGTGGCCTTATCTTTAGCCTGTAGTTTGTTGATGGTGTCCATCGTGATGGGATCTTCCTTGTAGGCTTCATCCAACGATCGAGTCACGTCCTCAGACAAACCAAACTCAGAAATCAGCGCACCTGGGTAATCTGCCCTTCTAGACAACGTATCTGCAACCTTGTTGTACTCTCCCTTCGAATAGTCTAGTTTGAAATCATATTGATCTATGACTTCAATCGAATGTTTGAGTGCATCTGAGAGAACTGGTCGAGTCTTGATCCACTTGAGTGTTTGATGGTCAGTTCCTAACATGTAGTGCCTCCAGTGGACAAGTGCCTTGTAAAGAGCGTAGAGTTCCCTCTCGTAGGTGGACTTTGCCAACTTCTTTGAACGCATCTTTTTGCTCATGTACTCGATCGGTCTCAACTTCTTCCCTTCCTGCTGAGCCAGCACTGCACCAATCTCATATTGGCTTGCGTCAGTGGTTACAACGAATGGCCTTTGCGGGTCAAGTACCATAAGAACCTCGTGATGTGTGAGAGCATGCTTCAAACGCTAGAAAGCTGCCTCACACTCGTCGGTCCAGTCCCATGGTGTGTCGAGTCGAGTTAGATCAGTCAAGGGAGATGTGATCGTGCTATAGTTCTTTATGAAATTGCGGTAACAACCGCACATTCCCAAGAATGATCTGACCTCAGTCACAGACTGGGGTCGTGGCCAGTCACGAATCTTCGGGCCTAATCCCATCCGCGGATACCTCATGACCCAAGTACAAGATTCGAGTGCGACCAAACTCGCATTTCTCAGAGTTTATCTTATACTTGTGCTGCCGAAGGAGTGAAAGTACTTTGTCTACATGCTGAGCATGCTCCTCGACAGATCTACTAAAGATAAGTATGTCGTCGAGGTACACGACAACAAACTTGTCTAAGTAGTCGTGGAAGATCCTATTCATGTCGTGCTGGAATGTATCCGACGCATTGCAAAGGCCAAAAGGCATCAGCACAAACTCGTACAGACCGTACCTGGTCTGAAATGCGGTTTTGTGCTGGTCCTCTGGTCTTATGGCAATCTGATGGTAGCCGGATTTTAAGTCTATCTTTGTATAGTACTTGCACCCCTGCACCCTATCCAATAGGTCGTCGATGCGTGGTAGAGGCTCTGTGTTAACGGTGATGGCATTGAGGCCTCTATAATCAATGCACATCCTTAGCGTTCCCCCTTTCTTTGGAACAAACAATACTGGTGAGCCAAAGGGGGAAGTTCTAGGCCGAATCCATCCCTTCTCTATGAGCTCTTTCAGTTGCCGCCGAAGTGCGTCCAACTCGGCTGGAGCCATCCTATAGATTCTACCCTTAGGTGTTTTACTTCCTGGGATAATCTCTATGGCATGGACAATCTCCTTGTCTACGACTCCTGTAGGCTCCTTGAACAGATCTGGGTACTTAGCGACGATGGTCTCTATCTTTGGGGGTGTTTTAACGGCCTCCCCTTTCTCAGAGACATAGACTAAGTACATTCCTTCCTCTTGGTTCTGTTCATAAGAATGTTCATAAGAATTATAAAAGGCAGATGCACATAAGCACCCATAGGAGTCTACTAACCTACTCGCTTTGTACTTGGCCAGTCTCACGGTTCTCCCACGAGGCAACTCGTGCTTCAACACCTTCTTGTCCCAGTCAAACTGGGGTTTGGCAACCTCGAGGTAGTACATGCCCAACAACATGTCAAAGGGCAACTCGTCGCTCACCAGGAATGATATCTTATGGTTTATCTCTCCTGCTGGGTAGGAGAATGTGCAGACTACATCTTTAACGTAGTCCTCCACCATCATGCGCTCTTTGTTGGCCAAAGTAGATGCTACCGCTCTACTAAGGCGCTGCACCCGGTCCTTTAGGCACAGTCTGTCAACGCAGTCGCGACTTATGAAGTTTCGTGTGGAGCCAATGTCTACGAAGGCGCCGCACTTGCGACCGCCCACATCAACTTCCACAACGAAGTGCTCCCCTCTAGGACCTCTACGCAGTGCCACCCAGGACTCACGAGGGTCCCTTGCCGACCACTCACCTTGAAGGTCCTCTAAGGCCTTAGACACACAACGTACAGAGTATAGTTGGGTCCGCATACGTCTGCGAGGTGACTAAGGAATCAATAGCTTTGGCCATCTCTTGAAACGGGGAGGGTACATCACCCGCTTCAACGAGAGTAGAAGCAGCTATAATTTCTACTGGCCCTAAGTGTTTCTCGAACTGGAGCTCGTAGAGGCCCCAGACTGAGAAGAAGAGAACCCACCCTTAGGAGGGATCTTCTGCGAGACCTTCGGGTTCTTGCATTTGAACTGTGTGTGAGCATACTCACCACAGTTAATACAAGCAGCACCAGACCAACGGTCCCGCCACACTTTTTGATCCAGACCTGCTCTAACCCAAGCAACTATTTTGTTTGGGTTTGCGGCCTGCCCCTGACTCCTTTGTTGATCGCCCTTGCCGCGGCCAGCTGACTTAGTCTTAACTACGACGGCGAGGTTGCTACCCTCAGCACTGTCCTCGCCGTCAAACTTTGAACCCTCCACAAGATCGGAAACATCATCGATCTCGGTTTGATTCCCATCGGAATCAACCATCATCAATCGACTACCCTTCTTCTTCCACTCTTGTGGAGTCTTCTTCTTTCTCCCATCCGTAGAAGGGGTTTGAGCTCCACCCAGTGTAGCCTCTAAATTTGTGATACTCGTGTCGAGCCTAGCTGGCTAATAAATTCCTAATGTCTGTGGGAAGACATCTCGGGAACATGGTCAGCAAGAACTGTGGATTGTACTCCACTCCCGGGACGACGATCAGGCGCTCTACGGCTGTGGTGAGTTCCCGCACATATTTGTACTTTCTAGTATCAAGTTTCAAGAGCCCATCAGTGGCAATCTGTGCTCGTTGAGGGTTGTGCCAACGAGCCTCCACTAAGTCCATAAAGCTTTCTAATGTGTGGGTCTGCGCCCAATCATGCATGTTCCTGCCGAAGCCCTTTGAAGCTACCAATCCGTTTAGCCAGCGGGCTGCTGAACCCTCTAAGTAGGATGCAGCAGTAATCACCTCCTCTTCTACCAATGCCCTCTTTGCCCTTACCCACACTGGCACCGTTCTCAACCATGTGTCGAGAGCCTCATCCTTCTTATCTCCTGAGAAGGTTGCAGGTGGGTTCAGTGGGGTCTTGGGGTACCAAGGATATTGTTGTCCCTGTTGTGAGACAGGTGGCGACTGTGGTGTAGCAACAGTCGCTGGACCAGAAGATGAAGAAGCAACAGTCAGAGATAGGGCTACTGTTGATGATACACTTGGTGGTGGTGTAGACTGAACGGCATAGAGGCCTGTCATCGCTGAGAGTGGCAGCGATGGTAAAGCTGCTGGCCGGGTCCCTGGCTTGTGTATAGCATTCAGGATTTTGTCCAAGGTGTCCTGGATTGCATCCAGTTTACTGTCCATGTATGCATGCATGGACAGGATGCTCGCCTTCAGAATCTTTTCATTGTTGCTGAGGGCCGAGTCATCTAATCCTTCTAACGCAGCCTGGTCTGCCTCCCTGCCCTGTAGTCTAGCACTTCTATCTTTGATCTTTTTTTCTCTTTTAGTAGCCTGCCTAAGTTCCTCCTCTAACCTTAAGCGGATCCTTTCTACTTGCTGGAGCTCCATCCGCTCCCGGGTGTGTGGAGGCGGCGAGCTGAACTGCGAGCCCGCCATTTGACTAGTGCCAACCCCTGACGTACTGGAGATTGACTGTGAACTGGTAGGCATACCTAGCGCTTGACCAGTTGAGTTCGCAGCAGTTGCTGCGGAAGTAGCATTACTCATTGCTACTGCTCTAGCGGCTGCTGCTTCTCTTATAGTCTCAAGGTTACGGGCCCTAGCTTCAGCCCTTAACCTTCTCTCTTCTCCCGGTTCTAGGGTCTGATGATATCCTTGTTAACCTCCTATCGTCATCTGCACCTCCCTCACCCCCTGATCCACTCATAGGATAGGCAGACGCTGTCTGCACTAATGTCCTCGCTGGAACCTACCGCAGCATGTGTCTGACCGGATCTAAAAATAAACAAATAAATAAATGTCCGGTGAGTTGCCTAGCCTACTAGTCAAGCGGCATCAACAGCATCTACACAAACTATACACATTGCCTAAGTCTTATTCTGATTAGTCTGCACAGAAGATTTGAGAAGAAGTGACTATGGTAGATTACAGTCCTAACTCTAGTCTGTTTGTTAGGTGTCAGCAGTTGGTCAACCTACTAATCAAAATAAACTCAGACTAATGTGAGCAGATGTATGCACAATGGATATGTCAGTGATGTACAGTTGAATTCACAATTGGAAACCCCTTCCCCTGTATCCAACTTACCTGTGAGCATCATCAAGCTGCGGTGTCTAAGGTGTGCAACCACGGCCCACCCCTGTGCCCAAGAAGTATGCTTATGACCAGCCTGCCCCTTCGTTTATCCTCGCGTGCAACGAGCCTAACGTCTGAATGATCTGGCTGATCAAGAGGGATTTACGGAGAGCCCCCATCTCCTCAGGAATTATTTAACGTCGCAAACAGGAGGATGATCACAGCCAGTGGACAGTTCAGACCCCAACCAGAAATGTTTATAGACGGTCTGGGAGCGTTTCAATAGGACTGGTCAGTCCGCGCACCCCTTCTATCAGCGTAGTAAAGAGCCTCAATGGACAAAGCAGCCATCGCATGCGTGTACCAATCCCATTGGGTTGGCATGGTGACCGTGACCCATGTGCTTCGACCAGGGCCCTTCAGAGGCACCGCCCTCTCCTGCCAGATGCGCCACCGGGAAGAATGTGGTCTCTCAAGATAGAGCACACACGACTCCTTACCAAAGAGAGGACACTCAAGTTGGACTCACTTCCTCACGGTAAGAAGAGATTGAGAGGGTAGATAAGGAATGGGAACAACGTATCTGGAGATAGCTGCCCCCAACCACAGATTTCTCACCAATTGGGCTCATGTGCATTTCGATGACCGGTCAATAGCCTCGGTACCACCCACAACGCAATGTAGTGCCACCTCAGCCAAAATGCCACGTCAGCATACTCTCATCATCATGTATACATTCGCTGTCGCCACAGCCTTCCAGCGGCTGGCCTCTCTACCTAGGCCCCGCTATTCAACCAGCGGCAAAGTATTCTCACTGCACATGAAGCATCCTCAGCGCACCAAGTTACAATGTCACCGGTGTCAGGTAAGCGGTGATCATCAACCAGAACCGATACCAAATTGCAAGGAATATGAGTGTGAGCAATATACATAAAACCAAGTTGCGAAATCACACAGCTGAGCAAGTAGTATCCGAAGTAGAGAGTACAAATGCACCGAGAAACCATCCGTAAAGAGCAATACAATGAAGTATTGAGCCAATGTCCAAGCCCGTAGGCCACACCAACACAGTATCCAGAGTCGCTCTCTCTGTCTGGCGCACAGCGCCCAGCCTACTCTACCATACTATCCCACGCTACAGCTGGTTCACACAACAGGATCACTTCGGCTCACGAAGACCAATGTACATGACTGTCCACACCATCGGCGACCTCTCTTCATGTACCAGGTACGTATCTCGTCACCCTCAATCAGACCTTGGTTACCCCACACAGCACCTCACTCCCTGAAGACCACCCGATCATTCGCTGTACCCCCTGGCGCCAAGCAGCCCGGCTATGGCTGCCTGCGCCCCGCTGCCCTGCAGCGCCCCACCTCACCTCTCGCACCCCGTCAGCGCCCTTGGCAGCAGCGCAGCATCAAGCGAGAGCGCAGCAGCACTTCCGCATTGCCAGCGCTGGCCGGAATGCCTGGCCTGGGCTGCCTCACTTCCTTTATGGAAGTGGCAGCCTGCTGCATGCTGTGTGTGGCCTGGCTGGAAGCTTCCAGTAGCTTCCGGTTGGGCCTCAGACCCTGTGCCCAGGCCGAGACTTACAGTTGAGGGCCTGGGCCCTTTACAGTTGGGCGCAGCCTGGGTCTCCGGACTTGGGCTGTTAGCTGCATCTGCGCAGGGCCCCCAGGTAGGTGCATCGGCTGTACTGCTTTTCCAGAGGCCGACGGCCTGCTTCTCAATGTATTGGCCCTGCTTTGTGTGTAGGTGCCCAGGCACAACTTTCGTGGCCTGGGCCAACTGTACGGCGCAGCTTAGTGAGGCTCGCGCGTTCACTCAACCAACTGACACGCTGCAAGAGCCTGAATACCCACATATGGAAATGTCGAGTTTTGCCTGTGACGAATATTCAGGCCCGCCTTCACTTAGGGCGGGCACTTGGCTTGCTGGGGTCTTGGCCCAGAACAATGTGATGTCTGATAGGGCCACTTGAGGGCTTGTTCCTCACACACATATTTTGCCCAGCCCCCTGACTTCGTTGCATAAGGGTGCATGAGCCTGAGAAACTCCATGGGCTATTGCTTTTCTTGATTAGGCAGGGTGTATCAGGTCTGGTGGTTGAGGGATCCTTCTTTCTGGCAGTCCTGGGGCGAAGCCCTGGAAAGTGTAAGTCATCCCAATCCTTGTGGAAGCAATCATTGGTTCTCGAGTATCTTGGCTACTGCTCTGCTTTCTTTTCTGTATGGCCAGCCCTTCACAGATTCTTGTGTGCATGGGAGACAGGTCTATCGTGAATGTCTAGCTTGATGTCGGAATATTGTCAGTTCTGCTTTGGTGTAGTGCTTGTGTTAGATGCATTTCTTTTCCGTTTTGATTGTATGAACGAGAAAGAAACTGGAGCATCTTGCTACTAAGTTCTTGAAAAATAGAAACAGAAATATGATTGAAGTTCATTCTGTTTTTCTGAGTAAGATTCTTTGTTATTGCGGTGAGTTGCATTGCTTGGGCTTTTTCTCTTCCCATCTTCCCAACTCTGTGTGTCAGTTGCATGTGGTCTTCCTTGAATATGCATGAGGTTAAGATTGGGTTTCCACTGTGTCTCAAAGCTGTCGACTGTTGTCTGACGATTTGTCAGGATTAACTCATGAGTGACCGTCTTTCCTTTGTGCAGAACGTGGTTTTCGGACACTCACATCAGTCACGGGTTGCCCACGGGTTGTACGGCCACTTGCAGACCAGATCGATAGGATGAGGTCAGTTCTTTTTTTTTTTTTTTTTTTTTTGTGTGTGTGTGTGTTTTAAGTTCCCACCACAACAGCCCCTGTTCCACCCAGATAAGTAGATTCGAGTTGAGCCAGCCCAGCAATTAAAGAATTCACCTCTTTAGCAAGCAACGCAAACCATTTCCATTTTGAATTGTGTTTTTAGTTGGGGTTTCTTTGGGGGAACAGCTCCTATTTTATTCTGCATCGCATGATAAGGCTGCCCATGTTGATGGCGGTGAATCGGCCCGCTGCCCACATCCTCTGTGTGTGTGTGTGTGTGCCCGCGAAACTTCTGCAATTGCAGTGCAGCATGTTGCATAACCTCGGCACTGCCAGTGCAGCATGTTGTGAAACCTCTCCGCTGGTAGTGCAGCATGCAGCAACCAGTAAGTGGGGTTACACAAGAGCATGGAAGTGCATCGCCAATTAGTTCACTAAAACAAGGTCTGAAAAAGCATCATTAAGAAACCGCCTGGAAAAGAGGGCTTGCATAAATAGTGTTTGAACAGGACAGAATTGTTTTTCAGGTTGAGATCCGAGGGAGGATAGAAGAAGGATCACAGCAGCCAGCTTTGTTGAACTCTCGCTGACGCATTAGTAGGCTGAATCTCCGACAGTCTGCGGAATCCCCATATTGAGGCTTTGAGTCATAATCTACTTCAATCACTGTTCTGAGTGGACAGCCAGGTAGTTGCAGTCAAGCAGCGGGTGAGTTTGCATGCACACAGGCAAACAGCAAGGCAACAGGATGAGTACTGACCTGGCACAGAGTTGAGGGAGCAGGCAGGTGCCCAGCAAGGCAGGGAGCACGGTAACCGAACAAGTATCTGCAAGGCAAGGCAGCAAGGTAGCCGAACAAACATCTACAACACAATCCAGTGGGGAGATTGACAGAGGACCAAGAGAGGCATGCGGGTAGGTAAGCAGCAGCGCAAAGGAACAGGGCAGAAAGGCAATGCAAGGCAAGCAGACAAGGCAGTGCATACATACAGCACAGCCCAATGGAGTCACTTTCTTGCACTGTCAGTAGAAGTCTAGGGACGGTAGAAGCACGCCGCCATGAAGAGTGAGGGAGTCGCTTTGACAAACATATGTCACTACCGGGGAATACAAACACACACGGGCACGTTGAATACCAAGTATCCTTAAGAAACTAAGAAGTGACCACCACCAAACATCTGACACATCACAAAGGTGCTGCACTTTGGCACTGAGGAGAACATGCGAGCAGCTCAGAAAGTGCGCTGTAAAGAAAACACTTAGCAGACAAAGAAAAGAAGTCACAGATAGTGTGACTCTGTGTGTGTGTGTGTGTGTGTGTGTGTGAGTGTGTGTGTGTGTGTGTGTGTGAGAGAGAGAGAGAGAGAGAGAGAGAGAGGGAGGCTTGATCAAGTGCTCTAGTCTCTCATTGAGGTTTCAATGATTATGGTGAAGATCCTAAGGGTTTCAATGATTATGCTGAGATCCTAAGGTTTGCCTAAGGCTCAGAAACTATCCGATGAGGAGCAGTTACTGCTGGGGAGCAGTTGTGTCCAAAAGAGGAAAATCATAGAGACGCTCAAAAAGCTTCAAAACGAACTGTTTCTAGTACTTGGTTCATCCATTTGCTGTGGTGGGATCTCTCCTAAATGGAGACCGTGATTGACTGTGAGTGGGTCGTTGTTGTTTGCTTTCTTGACCTATGAGCAGTCTTATTGGTGCGCGGATGTTACGAAGGGAGCCGCTTGCAAGAGTTACCCTGCTTTGCTACTGGTTAGCCATGCACATGTGGGTAGCCATCTCGCTTTCAACAATACGTGTTTGAAAGGTAAGGAACATTGTTATTTTTTCTTGTGAACCGTGTGACTTGAAGATTTCTCACCCTCTTTTTCAAGCTGTAGTGCTATCTGCTGCTCACATTCCCCAGTTACAAAGACCGTTTGTTCTTCCTTCCGGTCCCCATTTTCTTTTTTGGGAGTTTTTGGATCATGTTATGATCCCGGTCAATTTTGAGATACACATTCATCAGATAGTACAATGCTGTACAATTGCAGAAAGAAATGAATGAACTTGAGAGGAGAGAGAAGGTTAGAAGACGAAGAAGTAAGAAAGAAGAAGAAGATGATGTACACCAGCATAGACAAATGATAAAGCTCTTCTTCTTCGTTCAACCCTCTCTTCCTCCTTACAAGAAATAATAATACAATGTTGACTAGCTGAACCAGAATCGAAGTCCGAATCCCTCTTCTACTGCAGGTCTCACTTGAGGTTAGCCATGGCCGCCTCTCCCAGTCTTCACTCTCATAGGCCGAGGCTATGGCGGACTACTAGGCCTTGCCCCAATGTCCAAAGGACAACCGAAAGCAGCTATGGCTGTCCTAGCTCAGGCCGCCATGCCTCTACTCTGCCTCGAAGCTTCTTGGTGTAGCTCAGCCCCCGCTGGGGCCTTCCTGCTGCAGCGCCTACCAAGGTGATGAAGATGGCTGCCACCATAGCCAGGTAAGTTACCTCTGGCGCTCCTCCCCCTGCCTGTCCTTCTTCCTCCTCCGAGTCCTTACTTCTTCCTTAGCAGCGCTGCTCCAACCAGCGCTCCAACCAGTGTGTTGCCAAACTTGCACATCGACAATGAGGCTGGGCTCTTCGCCCGGCTTGGAGATATAGCGGCCTGCTTGCCTCTTGGGCGGTGACTTCCAGGCCGCTCGGCCTTCCCAGCAACCGGTACCTCCTCCCTTTCGGAGGGAAACATCATTGCAGACTCTGATATTGCCCGTACAGGCCCTATACTCAGACTGGTTGGACTGGTACCCGTCTAGACTTAGCCTACAACTACTGGGCCTCTCAAAATGCCACTTTTGTCCTCTTCCTGCTCGGCCTCCAGCCTACCTGCTACTTGAGTATTTTCCCCCGCTGCAATCCCTCAATGTCACGGCCACGGGTAACTACCGGCCCTGAGGGCCCAACGGACGAAGAAGTGCCCTTACGGGCCACACACACACTCAAGCCAACCAGCACTCAGACAGACATGCAGTCCAGAAAGCGTGCACACACACAGACTTAGTAGCAAGCGGGAAATTCAGCAAGGCATTCAGTCCGCGAGCAAATCTCAGAAATCAGCCGTGTGTTTCAGTCAATGTTTGGTCGGGTCATCACACTACTCCCCCCTCAAGAGCGAGGTCCCTTCGAGCGAGTAACTCATTCTGAGCCCTCGACTAACGCATCGTAGGCAAACAAGGCCAATAGATTTCGAGAATGCTCCGTCGAAGTGAGCTCGGCAGAGATTTTAGGTGCATCATTAGAGGCGATTTGTCGCTCGTAGGCTTTAACAACGCGCAGTGCGCTGCGCAGCAATTCCTGCTTGGAAATCCAGTATGGATCATCCAATGGGTGGTACATGAAATGAACCTGGTACTGTCTGTTACGCCCGTTCCCAACGTACTGTTTAATTCTGTCTATCTCATGTCCGCCTTCGATTGCACGAGGAATCATGTCTTCACGGAAATCGAACGTCTTAGCATCACGGTGGAGATACAATTTTGATGCATGAAACACGGGATATGTGCGCAGATGAGGTGGCACAGCAACCACGTATGAAGGGTCAAAGCTATCTTCGCCAATTACATGCAGAACTTCCCACGGACGATAATAGAGTGGGAGAAATTTGCGTGAGACTCCCTCTTCGTCTGAAAATTCAGACATCTTGACCCAAACATAACTTCCCACCTCAATATCTGAAGGTTGGTGCTTATTGTTTGCATGATGGATCATGGCGTGTTGTCGCTTGGTCATTGCTGCAATGACAACTTCGAGCAAGCGATCGTACTTGGCCCTAAAGCCAGGCCTGCCGGGTGTTAAACCAGCTGGCTGCTCAGGGAATAGGTAGGAGAGCGGATTACGAATCTGCTAACCGTAATGCGGCTGGTTTGGTGTCATGCCGGTGGCGAAATGAATGGAGTTGTTGTACAACCCCTTGACGGAATACAACTCTTCATCCCATGTTTCCTGATCCGGAATGATTAAAGCGCGGAGAAGTTGGAACACAGTCTGGTTGATTTCCTCAGCCAAACCGTTGGCTTCGGGGTGTCGGCCAGATGTCATGCATAGCTCGAGGCCAGGGAGTTGGGACGTGAAGTCTTTCCATTCAGTACTGATGAAGCGCGGGTCCTTATCACTTACGAGAGTTTTTGGGGTTCCGAACTGCAGAATGTACTTGTGTTTGAACTCACGGATCACCAATTCAGTTGGAGCATGAGATGGCAAAGGAATCAGATTAAGAAATTTAGAGAAGCGGTCAACAATCACCATGACTTGTGAATAGCCGTTATTACTTTCCTTTCCCATGTCAGTGAAGTCGATAGAGACAGACTCCCCGGGACCATCGGGAATGGGAAGGGGTGTAAGTAGCCCCATGGGCTTTTGTCTACATGGTTTGATTCGTTGACAGACTTGACGTTCAGCCGCAACTTTTCAGCAGATCCCTTCATGCCCAGCCAATCAAACTGTCTCAATAGATTTCTGTATGTCTTTGCCATGCCGAAGTGTCCACTCTGGCCATGAGCCAAGTCCAGAACGTGCGTGCAGAGAGGCTCATGGTTGGGCACACACAAACGGTCGCGGTTCCCGTAGCGACGGAAAATCACTCCTCCATACTCATGAAAATCAGGCTAACTGCTGGGGTCAGCCCGCAACTGCTCAAGGATGGGACCAAGGTCCGAATCCTGGGCAGTGTGCTCTATGAGCTCCTCCTCCTTTTTCTTCCGGAGGTCGTAGGAATTCACAAGGCAAGTCATGTCCTCAGGGTGGTGCAATAATGCGTCAGCAACTCGATTATAACAACCCTTTTTCTGCCTTAACTCGAAGTCGAAAATGTGAATTTTATGGAACCAGCGAAGCACGGTAGGGGACAGAGTAGTTTACTCTTTCATCCACTTCAGAGTCTCATGATCTGAGAACACTTTGAAGTGGATAGTGCTTTCAATGGTCCAAAGCCATACGGAAAGCATAGAGCTCGCGCATGTAGGTGGAAGTGGCTACCTTTTCGCTGGGCATGCGTTTGCTGTAGTATTCGAGCAGCCGCAAGCCATCGCCGTCATCTTGCTGCAGCACTGCGCCAATTCCATATTGGTTGCATTCGTAGTAACTACGAATGTCAATTTGGCATCTGCAATGCGGAGTACAGGTTAACTTACCAAAGCTTCTTTCAAAGCTTGAAAGGCGTCCTTGCATGCGGTGTCCCAAGAATAGGGAACGTTCTTACTTGTTAACCGGGACAACGGGTGAGCAACATAGAGAAGCGGGGCACAAACTTCCAATAGTACAACTCGAGACCAAGGAAAGAGCGCAATTCGTGGATGTTCGCGGACTGAGGCCAATTGCATATGACTTCAACCTTGGTTGCCTCAGGCTCTAGGCCCGCAGCAGACAACCGATGCCCAAGATAGATGACACTATCCCTTCCAAACTCAGATTTCTCTAAGTTGAGATGGAGTTGCGTCTTCTTGAGGATAGTGAACACTTCCTCAAGGTGTTGTGTTCCTCCATGGATTTGCTGAAGATCAGTATATCATCAAGGTATACCACCACGAACCGACCAATTTGTTCGCGGAGGACCTTGTCCATGAGGCTTTAAAAGGTGGCCGATGCATTCGTGAGACCGAAGGGCATTCCGGTAAACTCGTGAAGAACATCGTGTGTTTTGAACGCAGTCTTGTGCTGGTCCGTAGGATTGACTTCAATTTGGTGATAGCCAAACTTGAGATCGAAGTTGGAAAATACCTTGCACCCACCCGCGGCATCAAGCGAGTCATCTATGCGAGGCAATGGATAGGCGTTCTTTCTTGTGATGCAGTTTAGACCGCGGTAGTCAATACACATGCGGAGCTTACCTCCTTTCTTCGGGACAAACAAAACAGGGGCACCAAATTCAGACTCGCTAGGTTTGATCCAACCGTTGTCAATTATTTCATCAATGTGTCATCGGAGTTCCTCCAACTCGCCGGATCCCATTCGGTATACGCAGCCCTTTGGAGGAACAACACCTTCGACCAACTCGACTGTGTGTCGGACCGATCTCGTGGGAACTCCACATGGTTCGACCAGAACTTCTGGGAACTGATCAAGTAGGTTTTGGATGTTTGTTGGGACCGGTGGGGGTGAAGGGTCAGCAAAGGGATCACCTAGATGACGTCGCAGGTTGCGAATGGATGCAATCAAATCCAAAGTAAAATCATTTAGATTAGGGTAGGTAAAGAAGGAGGACTAAAAGTAGAATTACTAGATGAAGTAGTACTGGTACTAGCCGCAAAAGCAGATGGCACGTGAGTTCGGCGAACAAAGGCAACATACAATTGTTCGTCCTTTTTGTGCTTGCTCCATTTCTTGCAGAACTGCATGGCATTCAAAAAAGTCACTGGGGACTCGTGCTTCTCATCCGAGAGGACTGGAAGCTCGTTCTCTTGAGCATCTTTGACCATGAAAAGTGACTCCTTCCACTTGGTCCATTCGCATTGGGACTGCAGCCAGCCCAAGCCAAGGACAACGTCGAAGGGACACTTGTCAAGGACATAGAAGTTCAAAGTATGGGTGACGGTTTTGTCCTTGTCAAAGGTAGTGCGCACACCTTTGATTGCATGCGTAGAGGAGACAACTTCCTTGTTGCCTACTTGGGTCCGGCAAGGGTTCCGCAAAGCCACTTGCTTCATTCCCAAGCCCACTTTGTGTACCCCGTGTGGTGACATAAAGTTAGTAGTCGCACCACAATCAGTCAAGACACGGAGATAGCAGTGGTTTATGAGAAGTTTGAAGAAGATCAACTTCACTGTCCCTTGGGCACGTTGATGTTTCATCGCAGCCCAATGCTCCAAGTGGTAGTGGAAGTCAACCGTCTCAGACTCCTCCCAAGGCTCGACATACAAAGCATGGCATACTTCAACCTTGGAATCAGCATATGATTGGGCTTCAAGGGAGGACTGCTGATTTGCATCAGATTCAGTCTCCCTTGTTGTAGAGGATGCTGAAATCGACTCTACGCCTGGTTCTGGTTTCCCTGCATTCTTGTACTTTATGGTTTGGTTTCTGGCAATGTAGGCATACCCCTTTCTCGAGTCTAGCCCTCCAATCATTTCAGTGATCCGGAGGTCAACCCATGGTTTAGTGGCTGCATCCTCTGGTTTCGTTGGGATTTTGACTCCCTTGGGAAGTTGGACATAGTTCTTCCCTAAGTTCCGCTTCGGTCCCTTTCGTTGGCATATTTTTTAAAGGCATTTAATTTTTCCTCTTCATTATTCACATCAGAGTCATGGGATGAAGAGAAGGTTGTGTCAGGGTCCTGTTCTTGGTCGTCACCAAGAGTGGGGTCGTCTGCATAGGCCTCCTCATCGGCCTCCAACAGGTCATGCACAGCCAAACGGTTGCTGCCTCTGAACCCCGTGCCGCCAATAGGCTTTGTGCTGCCTGTTGTGGTAACGAGGTCTTGTGCCTCAAGGCTGACCACATCCTGCATGAGGGAGAGCCAGTCCGTGTAACCAATGAGCTATTTGCCTAGGCAATGCATGTAGGTAGTGGGGACCGTACCTTTCACAACATCCAAGCATGATTGTGCAGTCATTTCCAGTCCTGGGGTAACAACAAGTTTGTTGACAAACAGCTGCAAATTATGCATGGTGCCCGTCCACTTGCTGCACTGGAGATCATCAAGTCTCTTTCGGGTTCTTGCTGCAGCATGTGGGTCCTTAAACTGTTTGATAAGGATCTCCTCAAGTGTGGCTATGGGTGTGGCTTTGAGCCACTGTGTCAGATTGATCTTAGTGTACCCGGCTTGCGTAGCTTGGACTTCCAAGAAGCCCCGTACGGCGGGCTCGACGTTGGTCCCCATGATCAAGGACTGGCTCACTGGTTGAGTTCCCAGCACCTCGAAGTAAGCTCTCATGGAGCTTATCCAAGACTCAACGTCTTCTTTGTCGTCGACATAGGGACTGCTGTAGCCGGCACCAGCGATTGTTGTTGCTGAACTCGAGGTTGCAACAGTTGCAGAATTTCCTGCGCCGTTACCTGCCGTAGAGGCAGCAGGATCTGCACCTACTGCAGGTCCCGATGGAACCACACTTTGAGAAGTAAAAGAATGGAGAGGAGTGAGGGCAGTTTGGTTAGCAGCATTGGAGGCATGAGGTAGAGGGAGAGGATTAGGAGTCTGGTCCATCTGCAGATTTGCCATCTGCCGCATTAGATCCTTGTGCTTTTTGGTCACTTCGGTCACTTCGGCCACTTCTGCCTGCAGCTCACTTACCTCTGCTCATAGTTTGGTGATCTGCTCAGGGATGTCATTGAGTAGGTGACAATCTATAAGAGCACGTACATATGCGACTCTCTCCTTCCTGACTTCAGTGTCAGGCAAGGAGGAGACTGTTTTGAGAACAGCCTCATGGTCTGCAAGAACGGTTTTCCGCTTGTCCTCTTTGGCTTTCTCTTCCCTTGCAAGTGCCTTCTCGCAGAGAGTTTGGAACAATGGTTTATCTTCCTCTCTGGCTGTATCCAGTTGGGCCTTTAAGGCCACAAAAGCCTTTACATCGCCCATTTCCGCAAGTCCTCAAGATGGGAACTTTCACTCTCTCTTCTCTCCCTCTCTTCCTTTTGTCTACGAGTCTCTACGGGCATCAAAATATGAACTCAGGAAAAGAAACAAACTGAAAAGCTCAAAGAAGAGAAGGTAGAACTCCTAGCCGGAGCAACATTACATTTGGACTTAGAGAGCAACAAACCTAAAAAAAAAACAAATTCACATGAGAGGTCTGTTCCAGCGACTCAGTATGATCAGAAAAACAAATTCACATGAGAGGTCTGTTCCAGCGACTCAGTCTGATCAGACTGCATACGAGGTCCTCTCGAGTCCAGTCTGACCAGCTCCGTGACTGTACAGGAAATCAGACAACGAGTGACTAAATGCAACAATGGAGAATTAAGTGGTGTATAGGGCGCAAGTCAAGCCACGAACGGTGCAACCAAAAGCATGCGAAACGTCTCAGTTGAGATCCCCTCGACAGTGGGTGTCCTAACCAACAAGAATAAACTCCGGATCTCGGTCAGGAAGATAATGGAGTAATGTCTAACAGATTCGGGTCCAAGGCTGTTCTTGTTTGGGCCCGGTCCCATTGGGTCCCAAGGGTCCCACATGGGTTGTGACCAAGTCCCAACCAAGAGGAGTCCCACATGGGCTAAGTTTCTGTCTCTACCGCACTGAAAAACGAATTTCAACTTCCGGCAGAACCTACAGACTACAGCCGTTCAGAGATGAAAAGACAAAGCACTGTAGAAGGACTCGGCATTCAAATCAAGATACTTCATTTCTCCATCCATCAGGTGAGCAAGTAGTTCACACACATTCAATCACACACGTTCAATCACACAATCAAGACCACAGAGGAGTAGGAAAGAAACCCAGAATAACCCCAGCAGGACAGTCAATACCATGCACGCATACATGGGCATCCCGCACGTGCACGACACTTACCTGAGTG